ATTTTAATTGCTCAACTTTTTCTGCATGTGAGCAACTGTCAAAAATTTCAAGCAGTAAAGAATTGCGAATTGTCGCAGCAGAAATGTAAAATTTTCACACCATAGTATAAAAAAGTTTCACTTTGCACAGGTTGTTTGTGTTTAAGTACATTGAATGTTATTAATGATGGAGTACAACATCATTGAAATGTCCACCTCGGAAGCATCTGTAGCCACGGATTGGTTCAGCGCAATTCGCCATGACTTTTTGGTATTTTCGGCGGATATTCCAGCAATTTCATATTGGTTCTTTCCCTCTCTGAGTTTTGAGTGGTTGGAATAGACGGCTGATGGGTATCGCTGGAGTATACAATTAGGGAAATGTTTAGTACCACTCACTCCGTTTTTTGGGTGGGGGGCGGAGGGGGAGAATTCCTTTCTACGTAAGCGGCCTTCGGCCGCACTTAGGGATTATAACCCTCAGGCAGTAGAATTCTCCTTTCTGTGTTGCCAAAGAAGGGGGGCTGAACACCTTTTGCAGAGAACACCTTTCTGCGTAGGCGGCCTTCGGCCGCACTTAGGGATTATAACCCTCAGGCAGTAGAATTCTCCTTTCTGTGTTGCCAAAGAAGGGGGGCTGAACCCCTTTTGCAGAGAACACCTTTTAGAATTCCCTTTCTGTATGGTTAGTAAAATAATAAATAGAGCGCGGAATATATTTATTTTTCTATTTCTAATTTGTACACATAATTAATCGCCTGGATTAATTGCAAAAACATGTCCTTTTTGGCCTTTTTGACATTACGCCTCCACAGATACTCTACCACCACATCTGCGAAATTCCCAGTGTGGTTATAATTTCGTGTTGAAAAAAACCGCTTCACCACCCTCCATTGCGATTCAATTCGCTGGGTGTGGGTCCCGTCTTCTGCTACGAACGGATTAATGGCGTCGCTATGATTTACTTTCCGACGGGTGAACCCATTATCAGAAAGACAATCATATGCGCGCCAGAAATCCGTCCTTATTATCGACCCCTCAGCCACATGCTTCTTGATCAGAGGAATAAGAACATCCGCTGATCTGCAGTTATCTGGGCATACTTCAAGGCGTAGATCCTCACTGCCATCTTCGATCATACCCAGGACCCAGTGACCCTCCACTCGTCTGCCTAAAAATAAGAAAGAGAAAATTAAAATCATAACACAAAATTCTAATAAAAATTACCTTTGTTGAATTTCCTCTTTCCGAATTTACTCTCATCAATCTGGACTATCTTCCCGGGACCTCCAATTTTTCCGCTGGCTTCTTGGTGGTCCAACTGGTATATTACCACGGCTTCTCTACAATAACTATACCAGTCGGTGATAGTCGCAGATGATAGAGTTTTTGGTTCCTTTAAATAGTCTTGCCGTAGAAGCATTTCGCGGTTAAAATTTTCAACAAAGCAGTACATTAAGTAATATACGTGGGGGACGCTTATGCGGACGTCCTCAAACCACGTCCCTTTCGCTACCGAAACGCTAGCCCTTTTGGCGCAGTTTCCACGCCGGCACATAAACAACCCAAATTTTCCGGAATTTCGCCTGTTCATAATAACCTTATGAATGGGGCACAGCATAGTACGTGGGATCAACCCATGCTCCCCTGGTCATGGGTGCTCAATTCGCGTACCAAACGCGCAAAATTCCATTCGCCTTGTTGCGAATTCCTTGCGCTGGCGCTTGTGGAAGGACGTTCATCTAGAAATATAAGAGTTACAGTTGTGGGCAATTATGATAAACGATAATTACTTACCAGCCATTTTAATTAAAAAAAACCAAGAAAATATGCGTATAAAGAATTTCGTATCAATTTCGCGTACAAAATGAAATTCACCGTTATACTTAGAAATATAACAATACTCAACACCCCAATTAAGCCACGGGGACAGTAAAAAAATATTTTCCATGAAAAGGTTTATAT